TGATTTTTTTCTTTAAAATCGTAAATGTGTGACTTAATTTTTAATATTTGCAAATAAAATTCATTAAATAAATAATTATCATTATTGATGTTTATCAAAAGTTAATATGCTGACCGCCAGTTTTATAACGGGTACCCGCCGTTTCTTATAACAGGTACCCGTCATAACATATAACGTATATGACGCTATTAAATATAGCGTATTAAACGTAACAGGTTACCCCTGAAATTGCATGTTAACAGACAGAACAAGGGTAACCCGCCGTGAAATATAACATGTACACTTTTGACCATGGCGATTATACAGAGGGTAGTCTAAACATGACATTGAATTTTTTATCCTAAATATTTTATGTAATACTTTATTTTAAAATTACATATTATTATACTCTGATTTTTTACGTGAAATAATAGTATTTAATTTCACAAAGACAAATATTTTTTAAAAAATATAAATGGTTTATTCTGTACATATAAATTTGCTAATATCCAATCCAGTCGTTGAACTACTATTTGTCTATGCTGTAACACAATTGCGCCAAGACAAAGGAATTTTGGTTATTAAAAATTTATAAAAAAAGTAAGTCTAGCTAATTTTGTCTTAGCAGTTAACTTTGATAAAATAATTTTGATAGAAATTTTTGAGGTTGTAGTACAAGACTGTTGTACTGATTGTTAAAATTGTTATTTTTTATTGGTGTATCCGAGAAATAAAAAATGATTGTATCAATCCAAACTGATAATCCGGATAATCCTTAAGGATAATTCGGATATACTGATGCGGATATTCCAGATGACGGATTTTAATCGGATCGGATAAACGGATGACGGATATCATCCAAACCAAATTAAGTTAATTCGATCATCATGAGTAATTGATAAGATCATGTTTGTTTGGATCCGTATTAATATATACGTGACGTCGTGATGATGTGACGAGTTGACGTTTTGCATATAAATACAGTGTTTGCATTCCGGACCTCATATCAGATTTTCGTTTCCTATTATTTAAACACTACTTAAAATGCTAGATTTTTTTAAAATTCATAATATTACATTTCACTGGTATAAAAAAGCAGCAGAAAATGGTCACACTGGTGCAATGTTTAATTTAGCCATATGTTATAAAAATGGAGTAGGAACAGTAAAGAATTTAAAAGAAGCCATTTATTGGTTTCAAAAAGCAGCAGAAAATAATGATGAAACAGCAATGATTAATTTAGCTATATGTTATTATAATGGAGAAGGAACAGAAAAGAATTTAGAAAAAGCCTTTTATTGGTATCAAAAAGCAGCAGAAAATGGTCACACTGGTGCAATGTTTAATTTAGCCAATATGTATTATAGTGGAGAAGGAACAGAAAAGAATTTAGAAAAAGTCTTTTATTGGTTTCAAAAAGCAGCAGAAAATGGTGATGAAAATGCAATGTATAATTTAGCTATATGTTATATAAATGGAGAAGGATCAGAAAAGAATTTAGAAAAAGCCTTTTATTGGTTTCAAAAAGCAGCAGAAAATGGTCAAGAAAATGCAATTTTTAATTTAGCCAATATGTATTATAGTGGAGAAGGAACAGAAAAGAATTTAGAAAAAGCCTTTTATTGGTTTCAAAAAGCAGCGGAAAATGGTGATGAAAATGCAATGTATAATTTAGCTATATGTTATATAAATGGAGAAGGAACAGAAAAGAATTTAGAAAAAGCCTTTTATTGGTATCAAAAAGCAGCAGAAAATGGTCAAGAAAATGCAATGATTAATTTAGCTATATGTTATTATAATGGAGAAGGAATAGAAAAAAATTTAGAAAAAACCTTTTATTGGTATCAAAAAGCAGCAGAAAATGGTAATGAAAATGCAATGATTAATTTAGCTATATGTTATTATAATGGAGAAGGAATAGAAAAAAATTTAGAAAAAACCTTTTATTGGTGTCAAAAAGCAGCAGAAAAAGGTAATGAAAATGCAATGTTTAATTTAGCCAGTTGTTATGAATATGAAAAAGGAACAGAAAAGAATTCAGAAAAAGCCTTTTATTGGTATCAAAAAGCAGCAGAAAAAGGTCATATTAAATCTATGAAGAATTTAGGTCTTTGTTATAATGCTGGAAATGGTATAGAAAAAAATTTTAAAAAAGCCTTTTACTGGTATCAAAAAGCAGCAGAAAATGGTCACACTTGTGCAATGTTGAATTTAGCTATTCATTATAAAAATGGACAAGGAACATTAAAGAATTTAAAAGAAGCCATTTATTGGTTTCAAAAAGCAGCAGAAAATAATAATAAAGCATCAATGGTTCATTTAGCCATGTGCTATAAAAATGGAGAAGGAACACAAAAGGATTTAGAAAAAGCCTTTTATTGGTGCCAAAAAGCAGCAGAAAATGGTTACACTGTTGCAATGTTTAATTTAGCCACGTGCTATAAAAATGGAGAAGGAACAGAAAAGAATTTAGAAAAAGCCTTTTATTGGTTTCAAAAAGCAGCAGAAAATAATGAAAATGCAATGTTTAATTTAGCCAATTGCTATTACAATGGAAAAGGAATAGAAAAGAATTTAGAAAAAGCCATTGATTGGTATCAAAAAGCAGCAGAAAATGATAATAAACAAGCAATGCTTGATCTAATTAATATTTATAAAAATAATGAAGGAATAGAAAAAAATTTAGAAAAGGCCTTTTATTTGCGTAAAAAAATAGTAGAAATTAACAATGATAATAAATTTATACCATGTAATGAATGCAAAGAACTAATAAATACAGATCATGAGTGGTGTCAACAATGTAATTCTAAATATTTTCAACAAAATTTTTCAAAATGGACTAGCAATAATAAATATATTGATAGATTTATTCAAGAAGCACAACTAAATGCTAAAAATTGTTATGAAGTTTTAGAATGGATACCTTATAATAAATTGTCAGGAATTAATTATTATGATAAAGGAGGATTTAGTGAAATTCATAAAGCTATTTGGTCAGATGGACCTATTGATAATTGGAATTTTGATAAACAACAATGGAATAGATGGAATTGTCATGAGGTTATCCTTAAAACACTTAATAATTCATCAAATTTAAATAGTAAATTTCTGTATGAGGTATAGTATTTATTTTTAATAATAAATTTATTTTTTTTATAAAAATTTAACATTTCTTTATTATTTATATAGTGGAAAAATCATTATGGTTGTCAAGCTAAATTATTTTCAAAATTTACTCAAATTTTTGGAATAAGTCAAAATCCAGTTAATTTAAATTATATAATGATAATGAATTATGCAGAAAAAGGAAGTTTGAGAAAATGTTTATCTGATATAGTTAAATTTAAATGGCAAGATAAATTACAATTATTAAGAAAAATTATATTAGGGCTTAAAGTAATTCATGAATCAAATTTAACTCATGGTGATTTTCATGACGGTAATATTTTAATATCAGCTAATTATGAAATATTTATTAGTGATTTAGGATTATGTAAACCTATAAATAATTTACATTACAAAACAAATGAAATTTATGGAGTTTTACCTTTTATGGCACCTGAAATACTAAGAAACAATCCTTATACTTTAAAGAGTGACATTTATAGTTTATCAATGATAATGTGGGAATTTACATCAGGTATTCCTCCATTTAATAATAACGCACATGATCATAACCTCATCTTAGATATTTGTGAAGGTGAACGCCCTAAAATTATAAAAAACACTCCAAAATGTTATATAGATTTAATGAATAAATGTTGGGATTTAGAACCAAAAAATAGACCAACTATAGCTGAACTTGAATATAAAATATCTAAATGGACTAAATGTATTAATGAATATTATAGTAAGATAAATAATAAGGATAGAAATCTTAAGTTTAAAATAGTTAAGATTGATAATGAATTACATGAATTTATAAAAGCAAATAATACTTTAGTACAAACACAAACTAATAATTCTACTATACAATCTCACTCACAAGCATATTATACAAGTCGTAATATTAGTAAAATTTTAAGTGATACTGAAAGTTTAAATGAATTTATAATTTAACTATTTATATTTTATATTATATATATACAATATGTATATTTTATTTTACAATAAAGTAAAAAAAAAAAAATTAATTATTATTACTATTTTCAATTTAATATGACCTTTCAATCATATAATAATATATAAATTATTTTTATTTTTTTTATTTTTTTTATTTATTTACAAATTATATTTTATAATTACCTGTAATTTTATAAACTTTTTACAGTAAACTATTGATATTCATGAATTTCAGATATGGTATTGTTATATAGAAAAAATCACATAATTTATTATTATTTTAAATTATTATTATATTATAGGAATGGAAAAATTTAGCAAACCAGAACTGGAGAATCTAGAACTATAGTTTAGTAAAATTTGCCTATATAAAACCTTACTATTTTAATGAAAATAAAGATTCTTATTTGTTTCACAATAGTATTCTTTCTGTAACAGACAGTGAATTATGAACATATTTTATAGAAGAAACTTTATCGAGTAAAAAATTTACGAAAAAGGTATTTTCTGCAACACAGGATACGATTCATTATTTTACTACTATTTGGGCTGTGATTTCATGTAAGTGGACATACATTGCGTTGGATACTTGAATTGGGATTAGTATCACATACACTTTTGGTACGTAATTAATAATTAATCTTACTTTATTTATACATATATTATATTGTTCGTTACACACGATAACTTTATATTATGTCATATAACCTGCTCATAAAATTAAAATTGTTTTGATAATTTTTTATTGACCGATTTCATCATGTAGAGTCTGAATTAATACATTTATTTGTTGGATCATAAGATTTGATCCATCAAACAAATGCAAAAATAGTTTAGTTTCTCTATTATAAGATACAACCTGTGAATTTTCAGCTGATTTTTCCATTTACGAAAGAGAAAGAGTAACTTCCTGCTATTGTGCCATTATTAAAAATTTTATGATTATCATTAATATAATTTTATTTTTTATCATTTTTTTCAAACTTTGCCATTAAAAAAAAATAGATGTCAGAATCAGATTTTGTTATTCCGTAAAAGCGAATAATATTACCATGAAAATCTACATCTCGTTGAATTTTAAGCTAAATTATGAATGGGGAATAATTTTTTTAAAAAAATATAAAGAGACATGATTAATAATAATAAAAATTAGTACCTCATGAACAATTTCTTTCAAAGTAATATTATTAAAATTATAAAAAGACTTTAACGCTAAATAATGATCAAAATCTTTCCAATTTGCACGGAAAACCTTTCCAAATGCTTCATAACCAATTTCTTGAATATTTTTAAAATCTTCAAATTCATAATATTTAATATGTTTTTTACTGATAGCTTCTTCAATCCAGTTAATCCATTCATCCATATTTTCATTATTTTGCATTTTGTTACTACTGTTATTATCTGAGATAGTTTATAGAGCAAGCAATAAAAATTTTTGACGATGAAAGTAAAAAATAAAAAATAATAATAATAAAATCCTTCATTAACGTAACCCAAAACATGTACTCACTGCATACAACGAAAGAATTTTAGTTGCTGTTACACATACAAACAACTGCCAAATATTCTCTAATAATAGCTATCCAATAAGAATAAATGATCTTTTTTTATGAAGCATTAATTTATTTACCGTATTTGTCAAAATTATAGCTTCCACGTGACCGGTGATATTTAATTGGATGTCAAAAAATAAGATAAATATAAACAGTGAATACGCGGGTGTGTGATGCCGGTGATGAATATATTTAGGTCACGTAGTAGTAGAAAATTATCCGAAAGAATTTTACTTATCCATGTTGTTGTTACAGTGTTACACACAATCGAAATAATCTTCCTAAAAAAAAATTTTTTTAATCCAAATAATGTTTAAATTTTCATAAAAAAGAACAATTATCTCTTCTATCGATCTCCGATTGTTTTTTTGATTTTATTTTTAAATTATTAAATTTTAACAGTTTATAGCAATAATATTGCAGTCAATGTAATTTTTTAAATTCCAAATTGACCAGTTGATGATTCTAACATCATTATCGCATATTTGTCATCATTCAGTTTTAACATTTTACGACAAAATTGTTCTTCGCTCTTTAGAAAAGAATAACTGAAGATTAAGAGAAATAAAAAAGCAAAAAAAAAAAACCATTCTTTTATATTTGAGCTAATTTTGATTTTACAGCCGTTAGAATAACCCAAACTCCCAAATTCTACGAAAAAAAATTTATTAATGATTTTCAACGATCTTAATTCGTGACAAAAAAAAACAAATAAATATAAAATATCATCTTTGCGTGTATAATATTCCAATAAACGTTCCTAAATCTTAAATTGACCAAAGTTATTATTCACTTAAGAGACAGATTTATTTCATTTATAAGAATAATTAATAATATATTATTTAAATAACATAAAGATTGTACCATAAAAGTATAATTTTTTTTTGTCGCAATATTCATATATGAAGGTATTTCTTTCAATTTAAATCTTCAAGTAATGAATGAGGCACATACGGACCAGAACATTTTCCGACAGCCAAACGGTGAAAGATGCATTCGCCACTGGTTATAACGAACCTGTTTGTTCTAAACTCTTGTTATACCAAACCAGAATTCCAGAACTGATTTTATATATATTAGCTTATCGTTATCTGTTATATTATTTATTATATTTTCTATGTATAACAAAAAGCCATATGCATATTATTATATACTAATCCAGGCCAAATTTATAGTGTTATCAGTAACTTTTCGAAAATTTCTGTTCAACGAAATTATAATTCTGGTCAGCACTACAAATTTGGCCTAAATTATCTACTAGTCCGGCGATATATTATAACGAATTCAACTCTATACCTCCTGGAAACGGAGGGTTCGTTATATACATATTTATTTATTAAAATATAAATTAAAATCTACAATGAATATTTAGTTTAAAAGTTACTAGATTTGGAAGATAATTTGGAGAAAGATAGTTTAGATGAAGAAAATTTTATTAATTTCCTTAAAAATAAAATTTAATAGGAATTTAGAATTTTTTAACAAGAATACTAGTTAAGAATTTACTCTTTATTAGTATATGATGCTTCTAAAAGTTAATGTTTCAAAGTTCATGTTCATATAAATGTTAAATTGTTCTGCAAAAGGAAATATAAATATATTAATTTAATCACTATAAACATTAATTTAGGATCTAAAAGTGTGAAAACTTCAGCTCAGTTGAACATTCTATGAACTTGCGTAGTTTGATAAAAATTGATTTTTTTGGTTAGCTGAAAATGAGATATGCCTTTTAACTGTACCTGGCTTAAATGTGGTAACAATATCTCTGAGTGCATTTTCGAGGAATCTGAGTTTCGGTATATATGGATCGAAACGTAGTCTATAACCTAAACTCTCACCAAATCCTAAAATTATTTCTAATAAAATTATGTACGGTAACGAATCAAAAAGAAGCTTTAGTATCTACTAAATTATTTACTCAAATATATGATTAGAAATTCCTAGTAGTTCTTTTTTTTAATATAGTATTAGAGGTTAATCTTTTACGAAGAAAGTATAGCATTAATTTATGCCATACGTGTAACACTCCAATAAATATTTCGACGTTATAAATAGACCAAAGTTATTATTCACATAATCATACTTAAAGGGCGGAAAGATAAATAAATAATATTTTATTTATATAATGAAATGCTTTGATAATATAAGAATTACAATACAAATAAAATAAAGAGCATAAAAAGAAAAAAAGAGAAATAATAAAAATTTAAGAATATAAGCTATATGTTATAATCCAGAGAATTTATTGTTGGAATTGGGTGAATTGAGTATCTGAGATATCTGAAGAATGATTCAAGTAGGTGTTATCTTGTTGTTGAGAAGAAGTGGGTATGACGATAATTTTAAATCCGGGAATATCAAAACTAAGGATTTGGGATTGAGAAGGATTAACATTGGTCATGTTAAATAAATTAAGTGGAAGAGTATTTTCAGTAGTCTGCTGCGGTCCAACATACTGCGGAGCATACGAGGAGGCAATTGGAGTTGAGATATTTTCGTTAGAAGTGGGTTGTTGATCTAAATAATGGGTGTTTGTATAATATGTTGGGAAATTATTGTCAGAAGAGTTGACATTCACATCATTATAATTAATATTCAAGGAATGTACTGGTTGAATCGGTTGAATAACAGTAGACTGCAAATTACTGAATTCAGTAAAAGTGGAATTATTTTGATTATTTTGTAAAGTATTGTGATTCATGGTTGAATTTTGAACGAGATTTATGAATTTAGAATAATATTGAAAAGTTTTTGACAAATCGGAACCTATTTTTTTATTTTTTTATTTTGGTGGGGAGAAAGAAATTTTGGACCATTTTATAGTAGAAAAAAAGGTGTTCGAGGTGTTCGGCAAAAAAAGAAAGGTTTATACATTATGGAATTTCAAGTTGTTTGTTCATCCTCAGATATTTGTATTATCTGAGGGGATATTAAAATATTACCCAATAAATTAAATTAAATCTTTTAAAAGGAAAATTCCATACATATATATATATTATACAATATTTTATATACATATACTGTAATAAGTTACCGCAGAAATAATCTATATGTAATACAACATTAAATATATCAAAAGAATTCGCAGCCATTTTAAAAAAGGTTAGTAATGTAACATTAAATCATAAAGTATACAAACCCTTCTTTATATTGAATACTAATACGGAAAAATTCTGATGTGGTACAAAAAAAAAATAAACCAACCGATGCTTAAATAAATAAAAAAAAAAAAATTTTTTATTATTTCCAAGAAAAAACATTGGTACATAAATAATGGATATTACATCAAGTGTTTTTTATAGTTTACTTTTAATGTAGTGATCGTCGTTCCTGATTTTTATAAAACGTGAAATAACGGTGTTTACCCTTTGATAAATAACCAATTTTGTAATAATTGTAATATTTTTGTATTACCAGCTAATTACTGATATGTTATTCAAAACATCTTTTTTTAAATATACTATTAATATCAATTTTATTTCAATATTTGCGTAACCATAATCGTCATAACTAAGTTTTTTACAAGAACTTCCTAAAGGTAAGAAAGAAAATACAATTTAAACATTAAAAATATATGTAATTTTATGAAAGAGAAAATAATTATTAGATATTGTAGTTTTATGTAAAATAAAAAAAATTTTTTCATATTTCTATTATTTTATTCTAGTTAAAGATTTATGAAAAGCTTTTTAAATAACTAAATTTATATTTTAATATATTTCAGAAAATATATCAAAATGTTGGCATTTTACAATAAATTTATAAAAAAATTGTTTATTTGTAATGCACCATCCGATATAATAAACAGCCCTATGCGTTACAACCCTTTATTGATTATATAATTAGTATATAAACAAATACGAATACCAGTCATCAAATCAAATATCAATTTAGGATACACAAAGTAAGAACCTTTATTGATTACATAAACCATACCAGAAATACCAACATACCATAATTATATTAAATCAAATACTTGAATTACATCCATTTTTCTGTTATAAAATGGTCCAAAATCTCTTCCTACAAATAAAAAATAAAAAAATAATAATAAAAAAAAAAATAAAACTTTCCGATTATAACATAAAATTCTTCAAAATTCAACATGAGTCAAAATACTTTACAAAATAATCAAAATGATCCCACTTTTATCGAATTCAGTAATTTGCAATCTACTGTTATTCAACCGGAAAATTCTTCTTCGAATTATAATGTGAACGTCAACCCTTCTAATAATAATTTCCCAACATTTTATACAAACACCAATTACTTAGATCAACAATCCACTTCCAATACTTCAACTACGTCATATGCTCCGCAGTATGTTGTTCCGCAGCAGACTACTGAAAATACTCTTCCACTTAATTTATTTAACATGACTAATGTTAACCCTTCTCAATCTCAAATCCTTAGTTTTGATATCCCTGGATTTAAAATTATCGTCATACCTACTTCTTCTTCTCAACAAGATAATAATTATTCAAATTACTCTTCTTCAGATGTCACGAATACTCAATTTACTCAATTTCAACAATAAGAATTTTTAATTTTAATTTTTTTTTTACCCTATATTTTTTATTTCTCATATTTTCATATATCTATTATTTTATAAAGTATATTATTATTTATATATTTGTTTATATTGTATTTCTTTATATTGTATCACTATTATGTCATTTAAATAAAATTATTATTATTTATACTTCCTTAAAGATATTATTGTAAAGAACTTTGGACCATTTATAAACGAAATAATTTCAATTTTAGAGCGAAAAATATTGTACACATAGTAGTATAAAAGGGACTTATTTTGTTTTTTTTCTGATTTACGATATATTCTAATTATGAATTAATGAATTTTTTATCTATTGATGTAAAAAATGTAAAAATCATATGTAAAAGTTGATGGTGATACGAGTCCAATATGCTTCTGTCTACGATAAATGATACATTTGCGTGCAAATTGTGCAATGATGTAATTGTGGAAATCATCTGACATTTATGTGTGACATAAAAACATATATTAACATCCAATGTTGTGTGCGACAATCCCGAAAGTCCGAGAATTTTATTAAATGAAAATTTATATTATAATTAATATTATAGATTATTCAAATGCAATAATAAAGTCGAACCCATTTTCAAAATAAAATATCAAAGAAAGAAAATTTCTTAGAGTATTAGTAATAAGGAGTTACAGAGAAACTGAATACTTCTTGCCAAATGGCGAAAGAACTATCCCTTCAAACAAAAATGCAGTAATTTTCTCACGTTAAGGAAATTAAGAGAAAAACTTCTTCGTCTATGCAATTTGAAGGAAGTATTAGCAAGATAATTCTTTAAAAGTGAAGACATAGTCATCATCCTATTACTTACCCCCACCTATTCACAAAATTCGGGACGGTGATGAGAACTTTACGATTTTTTTTTTTATTCAGGCACGAAAATTATGGAACTTTAGTTTTAGATATTTTTTTGGAATCAATTCGCAACGAGTACATTTTTAACGATACTCCACACTGCTATCCTATCACTAAAATTCTACTGGAAAGAGTTTCAAATTTTCAGGCATGAGATCCGAATATGAAATTATTGGTGATGAAAAATCCAGGCGGATCGATTATGCAATCAAGGTATGAGAATAATTTACTTCGTTCTTATTATTTCTCAATGGAACTAGCTCTGACTTATTTGCGTCACAGAAGACAAGGTTTCAACAAAGTATGCTCGAAGATATCAAGCAACTCGAAAGCTCATAAGAAAAAAAAGAGCGAGCGGCGATGATTATTTTGATTATCTTCATGGTGTCATGACCTCTGCTAGGGATTGGTGCTTCTTGCTTTTCACTTCAGGAAGTTTCCCAAGGTGACAAATTATCATCGAGCATCGAATTTTTCAAAGATGCTCTTGTCAAAGATTCCGGGAAGTACCAAACATTACATAATGGTGTGAAAGAATTTCAGCGTAATTGTAGGGTTGTTAAAAGATTGGGTATGAGCAGAAGATGATTCCCCCTCAAAGAAATGCTGGAATAAAGAAACATCGTTCGAAACAATAATAGTTTATATTAATTAGCATGGAAACCTCATGTATCAATCACAGACTAAGATTGCATCTTTTTATTTTTGTATTTCAAATAAATAAGGCCCTATAAAAAATTTTTATCCGAATATTTCCATTATTTCTCCGTGTCTTCCGTAAAAATTCCGTGAAAATGATACATTCACGGATATCCGTGTTAGCGAGATGAAAATTTCCATGATTTAAGGCTATTAATTCCATGAAAATGATACATTCACGGAAAAAACATGGAAAGATAAAACACGGATCAGATTTTTTACAGGGAGGTTTGCTCCAATTTAAAACTTTTTTCATATGGTAACAGACTAGTAGCTAACGATTATTGATACTAATATTTTAATTGTTTAAGATCGTGCACACCAATGCAAGGCAATTCAGGGACGAAATTATTGGATTGACAATGGAGATATGGATGGTTCTTGTTTTGCAACAATAACTGTGAATCCTTAACGCGTGACAATTTACACTAATTTTGAAGTTTTTGTTCCAATTATTAATGACATTTCGGTTTAATGCTTTTTTCCACTTTAACCTCGATCTACAGGAAATATATTGAGTGAAGGATGAAACTCTCTATATTTCAATATGGCTAACAGACAATATTGAAGGAGGTTTCTCAACTCGAAACACTTTCATCAAATTATCATCTGCGAAATCAACTTAACCCATGTAGTATTTGTCAAAGAGATATCCTAGGATGCGGGCGCTGATATAAAATTGGCTTTTAAAAATAAAACACGAGATTTTAAAGAAGAGCATTCAATATTAAGCCAAGATCCATTGGTGGCTATAAAGCACGAGTCACCAATTATGGGTCGATCACGAACAACCAAGTCATGGGCCATTTCGCTACTTTCAATCTTAACAATCAACATCTTTAGTAGATTTTTTTTTCTTTACATTTTACAAGAAATTTTATGTTAAAATAAGGTATTTCCAAGAACTTCGCATTCCCAGATAATCATTTTCCAGATTTATTCGATTATAACGATATTTCTCTAAATTTTTTTTATATTTATTATTTTGTAGTTTTTTTTTATATTGTACTACGTTATATTTTATAACCATTATGTATTTATCTCTTAAACGAAATAAATCCACCTTTTAATTAAATTATGTGAATAATAACTTTGTTCCATATTATCAATTTAAGACTAATCATTTATTGAAATACCAAGCACCTATTCCTCAACATTGATAATTGAGGATGGCCGATGACATAGTCCAGTTCTTGTTACTCTTGAAAAGATATATCGCTTGTCGATATTTCTTTTGATTCGATAATTTTACGTCTTTAGCATAAGTTGAGTTGATAATGCTTATCTGTCCAGAACTCGTAAAATTGTGGAAAAAAGTTGGATCAAATCCACTAAATAATTGGTTGTTCTCAAGTACTGTTTGTAGCCGCGAGAGGCTATAAGGGCTAAGATTTTTCAAGATTAAAATTAATCATAACTATAAATTTTAAGTAAATGTAATTAAAATAAAATATTGAGAAATTTCTTTTGCAAAAGAAGAATAAAAGATAAAAATTATAATTAAATTAAAACATTTAGAATAAATTCTCACGTACATCTCTATATTTCTCACAATACTGTGGCCATCCTAAAACAATATGTCCTCAAATTCCATACTAGATTTTTATTTAGTTGCGTACTATATTAAAAAGTCTTTTGCTGCAAAAGTTTTCTTTTATTTTAAAAAAAAAATCAAATACGCTGAGTTTTCAATTGAAATTTCTTTTACTTTTTTTTTCAAAATGAGAACCATTTATCATAATTATATTTATTAGTAACTATAATTAAATAACAAAAAAGCTTGAATTTTTGATGATAACCAACAACTTTGATTTTACGAAAAGAGAAAGTTATTAAATCAAAAATGGAAAGCAGTTCTCATCTTTATTGTGTGAATTTTCAGGACAATTTCATTTTCACAATAAGAGAAAATTTAGATCAAAGATTTTACCGAATTTTCAAGACAGCTTCATTCTGGAGTAAGATTAATCGGTTAATTAATCGGTTAACATATAATTTTGCGTTTATAATAAGTTTGCGTACGATTCACATGACATTTTATATATTAATATTATGTAATAATTTTCTTAAATTTCATAATATTGATTTAAAGCTAATAAATAAATTATCAATATATACAGATCACGATACAAAGTTGTTAGCAATCAGATGATCTAAATTTCATAGTGTTGTTTATTGTGATTGGCCGTTGTAATAATAAGTTGTATTCCAAAAAAGGAAGGAAGTAGGTCCTAATTTGGTTAGCAAATATGGCAAAACAGGGTCCGTTTTTATATAAAATATATATAAACATAATTGAAATTTCGGTTCATTGCAATGAATTTCAATTTCAATTTCAATTTCAATATATCAATTGATTGTTTTTTGGACAGCAGTTGTTTAAATAAATTTCGTGAATTGAAGTTGATCATCATTTACGTCACAGTAAGTAAAAATAATCTAAAATTGGATTTACATGTTATAAAAATTGAAACTTGTATATAGTAACTATAAATAAATTAGTTATAATGAAGGTACTTTTTTTTATTAATAAAATTGTATTTTTTTATTTGTTTGTTAATTAAATTAAAAATTGTGATTTTTCCCATAAATTACACATTTTTTTAATTAATAATA